CGCCAGAAGTCTGTCCCAGATACTCTCGATATTGAATTTGGCGGTAAGGAATGGAAAGTGCGCCAAAAATTGAAATTTGTATGTTGTACACCAATGTATGATAGGGAGACTGGATCCCGACGATTTAGAAGGGTTGGTAATGAGCGAAACCCATCGCCGACGTCTCCGATGTTCATGAACTGGATTAAAATATTCATTTTATTCTTGTGTACTAAACTGTTTTTATAAGGCAAATAAATCATAAACAAAAGATATTAAGTGCCCCCCCCTTTGCGCGCGGCGTACTTTATTCGTTTTCTTCGGGCACCGTCTGCTTGTTGAGGTCCTCATTAACTGAATGTGCCTCTGACACAGGCAATTTCCAGGTTTTTCATAGCAGGAAGTTGTTAAATAGTTTTCAATACGATAAAAAGACCTAACTTAAACACATTTTCATGGACATTTTAACAGGATCAGAGCTGGTTGAACCCGAGAACTACGAAGGTATCACTTTTAGTTTTCCTACGCCCTCCACAAAAGAGAATCTAATGGAAACTGTCCAGTAGAGAAGGAAAAAAATTCCGAGTAAGACCTGAAATACTCACTGCTGGACCAAGTATATATATATTTTTTCTTAGCTATTCCAAGAACACTATTCGTGCAAATGTATCAGTTCTGAATGTATCTTCTCAGTGGGTCATCACTCAACCGGAACCTCCCTTTTCCTGTTATGTTGCTTTTAGCAAACATCGGCTTAATGAATTAAAACCGCACAGTTGGACCGGATTTCTAGAGTCTTAAAATCCTCACGCAATGGCTTCTTAGTTTTCTTGGCAAAGTGAGCTAGCCGAGGATCATAATTACACGTTTCTCGGAAACTGCCCACCTACCCCTCCCGTAAGCCAACATTTTGCCCTAAGTGAGAAGTAACTGTTAATGTTGGCTTAGGGGAGGGGTAGGTAGGTAGATTCCCAGAAAGGTATAATTATCCGGTGAACCTGGCTCCCTGGGTCGTCTAAGTAGTAACGAGGTTTGATCTGAACTGTTCATATGAAAGGGGTGGGGATGCTCGTCGTCTCGCTTAGGGGTGTAAATTTCGGATTTTGATCTCACTTCACTAGCCGTGAAGGTCTCGTTTAGGGTTCCACGCGAAAAAATGTAAAAAATATATATATTGTCTGTGTTTTAACATGGTCTCTTTTAGGGGTAAAAAAAGAACTTGGGCTACGCCCAAATCGGTCTCCTTTAGCGGATTTAATTCAAAATTTCCGACGAGCATCCCCACCCCATTCATATGCGGAGTCTCCCCCCCGGGTATGTTACATGCCATTCCTAACTCTGCGCGCGCAGGCTATGAAGCATCCGTATCATATCCCTAGGGTATTACTCCCGTAGGAACTTCACTGATTTTCTATATATGTGTAACGATATTCTCGCGTTAATTTCTCTTTTATTTTGTCCTGTCTGACTTGATTCAGTCGTCAACGTTTTTAAAAAATCAATTAACACTAACAAAGACGCATTAATACAGTATTATTTCAGATCTATTTTTCTGTTATCATTGACTAACTAGTTTACCAAGGGCTCTTCAAAACATCAGATTTGGCGGAAACTGACACGGGCGTCTTCATTTGATATTCGCGCCAATAATCTCAGCTACAGCTATTTGCAGATTTGTTTCACTCGAATTGCCGGAGAAGTATAAGACCCGAATTAATGTTGACAACTACTGCTGCTGCTGCTGCAGCTACTACTACTACTACTACTACTACCACCACCACTGCTGTGTATAAAAACTGATTCTTCTATAATTATGATTTAATGGTTTAGTTCTACAGTCGACTCTCGATAACTCAAACATTTCTCGGGAGTTCGATGCAAATAACCGGATATAAGGAAAAGTAGTCTGTCTGGCAACACGTAAAAGGTAAAAGTGAAGATGCTTGGCAACGAGTAAAACGTGCCTTCAGTTTCATCATTACTGCGGTGCCATTTTTCTTACTTGTCTGTTGACCACAGCAAACACGGTACTCCTCAACTTTATTACAATTATGGCCTGAAAGACTCTTGCCTTGATTTCAATGTCGTTTTATCCGTCACATTAGAATACTATACCCTTCAAACTGAATTGTTCACTACTTTACCGGCCGGACGGATTGCCGGAAGAGGCTTGTACGTGTAAGCCTCTATACGTGGGCATAAGTCAAGGGCGACCTTCACGCCCCAATAACCACTTTCTCGTCAGTATAAGTGTTTCATATCAATTACTATACGTAGACAATTGAGGTATGCAAATTAATCTGGGATTTGAACACTATAAACATATTAAAAATGTTTTGTTTGCATTTAAGTTTCAGCTGTACATTACAGCACACTCATTCCCTCGTTACGGTCACTCACGCCTACGACAAGGAATTCATCATTAGCACTGCTGTAACACGATGAAATCACTACTGATTTCTGTGTTAACTTCACTGGAGATACTTATCACCATGGAATGTATAAAAGAAGCAGAAGCGGCTCCATGTGAACGCCGTACAATCAACAAGCAACACGACCGATACGGTAAGAAGGCAGACAGTCAAACTGAGTCAGTCAATGCCCCCAGTTACAACTGGCTAATTTCTAACAACTCATGATTTGATCATGTACTCTCCCTTTAAGACTTTGAAACACTATCTTTCGAAACCATGCATCTCGTAAGGGACGAATCATTTTTCTTGGTCATAAAGACTTTATAAAGACGTGTATGATATACGTTTTTACCCTTAGGCTATGGACGTTCTTCATGCTAATGAAATCACCCCAGAGTGAATGCCAGTAAACGAAGTTTGAAAAATTGCAACAGCTGTAATTTATCATTTGATAGTGTCGGAAAATAACGTTGGGTGATCCAAAAATGTATTTCGTGCACTCTAGATTCGATTTTTTTTTATCATGATAGTACACTTTAGATTGCTTAGTAGCTTATTTTGTTATCACGCGACCTACTATAGTGGGCTAAGTTATCAGTCGGGCTCATTCTGTTTTACGATGGACCAAAAATAAGTAAAAAATTAAATAAATGTAAGCAATTCATTCCTACAGATCTATCAGTCATGATTCAGATCAATGTTGACACAGCCGTTTATTGACAAGCCACCGCTAGCTATAAGAAGAAAAATAACTGACTTTACTTAATAAACAAGAAAGTTAGTTTCACCGGGGAAAGACAACGTTTATCGTAAGAACACGGAGGCCAGTATCACCTAATTCAAAGGCCGGATGTTTATGTCAGAATTAATATTTTTGGAAACGGTTAATTACCGGCGATAAAAGCTTCGTAGAAAGACATTTTAACCAGGAATCTTCGAGCCAAAAAAAAGTTTTTAAGATCAGTTTGACACTGGGCGATGCCTTTCACAAACTTTGTTAGTGCTTATTTTTAGTAAGTATTTTATTAAAAGTAAATTCATTTGGCATTCAGTTCTAAAAGAGCTTGTTTTTTTGGTGGTAAGGTTTTTTATTATCATTTTTGCTTCTTTACATTACGCATATTTAGGATACCGGGATCAATCCGTTCTTCGCAACATTAGTAACAAGGGTTAATTAGGGTCATGGCTTCGGCTGAATCTGTTAAAAATTGGGCAGACATTGTTGAACAGGGTTAGGATAGAGTTATATTTTCATCTATAATTGACTACGAGTTTGAAACACGAAGTCTACAATGTGCTCTCAGTGGCTGGCACTGCTGAACCATTTTTTAACTGAAGTGACTGTCTAATCTGGCGACGGCGGGTCAACAGCATTCTGATCTGAACTGCCGGGTGGAGAGTTTTGAAGTATTCAGCTGCTGGCGGGCTGGAAATTATTACAAAGTTCTTCTCAAACTCAATCTCGTACTTACCGTTGGTCTCAAACTATAAAGATAAACTCGCTCTTATTCTGCCTCGTGAAGTGTCGTTAAAACGGGATCGATTTTTTCTCAGCAAGCGGTCGACTGACACCAAGTGAGAGAGAGAGAGAGAGAGAGAGAGCTCATTCTCTCTTGCCGACACCCATTAATGCGCAACACTGTGATCATGCTTTCCGCTCTTCAAAGGGAATGATACAATAAATAACCTTACTGAACAGAAAGAACTATCACAGTAATAAATTGGACACGAATCATTTTTATATAGTTAAACCATTCAACCTTGAACAAAAACATCAAAGCATTGGATTATGGCAAGTTATAATACGCACCCGTCGGTTTATCTTAATTCCCCAAACCAATATAAAAAATACCAAAAAATCTCATATAAAATATTCTTAAGATACTTAAGTGTTGAACCTGGTGAAAAAAGGCGAAAAAATGAGAGCATCCGTCTGCGTTCTCATTTGTACAGTGTCAATTAAATTTTGGTGCGAAAAAAACGCGCGCTAAAATGACGATTTCTCTCGTCTTAATTAGGAACATTTGGTTTGAAATGTTCTCGGTTTCGATCATGTTCTCGGCGTAACGGTCTATTCTAGATTATAGATTATGACATTTAAGTTTTTGCCGTTTAGTTCATGGTTCATGCTGTATACATATCGGTATGTTTTACAATGTGCGTTTATCGCATTGCCTTTTTTAAAAGCATCGAACTGTCGACTAGAGCAGGTTTTTATTGTTTTATTGGAAAGTTTTGCTGCTTAGAGAAAGGACAACTTTGTGCGGTTTCAGTTGTTGAAAACAGTATAACTCTACAGTAAAGTCTACAAACTTTCAATGCAAAAAATACAAATCTACTCAATTTGCAATATAGTCTTAAAGTTTCACAAACTTCTGCTCCAATATTCTTATAAAACATATAAAACAAAAGAGTGTTCTCTGGAAGACGAATTGACTGAGGGGAAAATTAAACTACTTTTAAGGAAAAAAAAACAGGAAAAAGAATTCATAGGATTTTGAAACTACATTACTGCGGTAACGCGGATTTGAACAAGCCTGATGACGCACCGGTAGCCCGAAAACCAATGATGCACCAGGGAGTTCCTGAATTTTGTCTCATTTCTTGTCACGCCTTTCAGAAATAATAGAGGGCGATATACTCATGACAGACAACCTTAGACGCATCCTGAATGCGGCGGACAAATCAAGAAACAAGCGGGATATTGTAACTGATATGGTAATGAGGTGGCCTGATGGAGTCGTACCTTATGTACTTGACGCAAGCCTAAGTAAGTACAGTTGCAAGTTGTATTAAACGAATAATAGCAGGGCAAAACTCTCCTGCAGCATTTTTCTAGCGTCTTCGACAATAGTCTGCGTAGGAGGCGCTTGTAAAAGAGTTGCGCTCCCGTTTTTTCTTATGCCCACTACTTCTAAGCGCCTGCTAGGTAGACTAGTTCGACAAATCTTTTAGTGGGTCGTCTACTTTGTAGACTGTTTAGAATGAAACAGTTCTTTCTTATCTTTTGTTTGTTTGTTTGTTTTTTTGTTTGTTTTCTTCTTGTTTTTTTTTTCCTCGCTTTTGGCCGTTTATGTAAGTAAACTACCCAGTGACTTCGGACACGAAAGTGTAGATGGCAAACCGACAAAAGTGCTTGTGCTAGAGTCTGGAGGCAAAGCAGCTTTAGTTTCCAGTACACCGCAAACTATGTCATTACTGGTTGTTTAGTCCATACGCCTTTCTCTTCCCAACCCTCCCCTTATTTTATCATTTTTTCATTGCTAATTTCTTTTCGCTCGTCCTACTTACTGATTGGCCCCATGTAAAAAAATTTCCAAGACAGTCTTGGAGTCTGAATTCCGAGCCGTAAATTCCGGATTCCTGGTACTGAACTGCGGATTCTTTGTCTGAGGAACGTGGATTCCGGACTCCAATCTTTAGTGGGATTCCGTATTTATTGAGCTGTAATCCGGATTCCAAAGCCCGGGACTCCAAATCCGAAAGTAAACGTTCGCGTGGTTCCGGATTCAACAGTAAAAGGTTCCCGGTTTCCGGAATCCCTTACATGGGGCGATACTGACAGTCAGCAACTAACAGGGTAGCAAATTATCCTTTTTGCCATTTTCCTCTCGTGGAAAAAATGCTGGGTAATTTCTAGTTACTAATTATTACTAATGTCGTCGCTGTGACGACGCTAACCAATGCAATCCACCATTTTGAAAAGAAAGTGAAGGGAAGAACATTTGATAATGTTTTTTGGGGGGTGTCTTTCTGTTTTAACTGATTAATAATGTTCATATGATGTTTGTTGTGCATTTACTTTTAATCATTACTTAAGAGTTTTCTTCTGTTTTGAATATGGACACTGAATTTTTCTTCATAACCTCCACAAACTGGCCATCTCTCTACAACGACCACTTGCCGATCGGCCTCACCCCCCCCCCTCCCCCACACACACGTCCCACAGGTGGCAGTTGTGGAGCCACTTCAATTGGAATAAACTCAATTAAAACCTTTAACTTGTTTTCTCGTCGACCATCTAGGTAAGCAGGCCCTTGTTGCAATTAGAAAGGCAATGCGAGAGTTTCACAAGAGAAGTTGCGTTAAATTTGTCCCTCGCATAAACGAACAAGACTACATCGAGTTTGAAGGAAATCTTGGGTAAGAAAACATCGCTTTGTGTTCAATGCTTTATCTAAAATCTTCGTGTTATTATTATTATCATTATTTGTTGTTGTTGTGCCACCGGTGGTAGTTTTACTTTTATCATTTATTGAACGCTTCGTTGTCGTCATTGCTTTTTGTTCCCTTATAAAAGCGCGTGTGAGATGTTATCCAAGTCCCGCGCGTAATTCTAGTGGTAAAACCTCATAAAAAGGCCATTTGCTCCATTTGCACGATGACGTCATTATACTACTACTACCAGAATCCTACAGGGTTTTGCTTTCCTGTGAAAAGTGGAACCTTCGCCATCTGATCTAAGCCTAGCTGGGATTACCAAATTTAAATATGAAACTCTCAAAAACGCAAAGTATATTCTGGTCATAGTAGTAAAATGATGAGATCGCGGGCCATCAACTTCTGTCGCTCGTTCCGTGTTTCGGTGGCAGTGAATCTGATTCCAGTGACAAAGTAAAGACAACAAATCAGAACATGTTCTGAGTTTCTTTAGAACATGTTCTGAGTTTCATCTGTCAGGCTGCCATTACAAAACCTCCCACTCGCCCAAAGGAACAAATACAGATCTGTTTCACACACTCCTTGCCTTACGATCCGCTTTTTTTTCCTTTGTCGCAGTTGTTTCTCTGCTATCGGGCGTCAAGGAGGAAAACAGAGAATCTCTGTTGGCGAGGGCTGTGAATACAAAGGAACCGTTATGCACGAGATGATGCATGCTCTTGGCTTCTTTCACGAGCAATCACGCACTGATAGAGATGATTACGTCATGGTGTTATGGTGGAACGTTGAACCAGGTACTATGCGCGCGAAGGCCAAGTCAAACTGCATGAGGAATAACATGACCAAACACTGAAACATTAATAACCAAAATAGTCAAGCAGGCTATCTTTGTAGCCTTCAAAGTTGCCTCGTTTCTTTTTCCTTAGAAAATAACGAGAGAAAGGCCACCCCATGCAAGGTAATCCAAGGTTGTTCACCATTTATAAAAAAAACTCCGGAAATTTTGGTTGGGAATTTTTGGTCGGTAAGAACGGTACGTGTCGTTTACCATTTGCCTAAAATTTCCGGATTGTCGCGCCGCGCTTGGCTGGATTCTAGTTACAACATGAAACTGGTACGAAATTCAAGAAACTTGTACATGGTAAACGAATTTCTATTCTTAACGTCCCAATCGGGAAAACCGGACTACCTTTTCAGAATTTCCGTTTGCCCCGGGAATTTTCCAGTGGGACGAACCAAAAAAAACGTTTACCATTTACATTCCAACCGGAATCTCCGGGAATTTGTGGTAAATGGTAAGCAACCCAAGATTCTGGATTCCACATTGTGGATTCGTATTCCAGGTACTGGATTCTTGATTCCTTGTCAGTGGATTTTGTGGATACCGGATTCCAATCGTTGGCGGAATTCGGGATTCCTATAAGCTGGATTCCGGATTCCAATTCCCAGGAATCCGGATTCCACAAGCAATGATTTCCCGGATTCAGAATCCGTATTACCTTATATGGGGCGAGAACGGGTTCTTGAGACCGATCTTGCAAACTTCTTCCGCTAGTCTTTCAATACCATGCATAGACTGGAAACCCTCAGCTACTGAAACACTTAACCATTGAAGGAGTGGTATAATTCAACCACATTACTGACACACCTCACGATTAACTTCACTTAAATACATAGTCAATGGAGTTGGTATTATCCGGAAACGGACTTCTTTCCTTGCACTCTATTGTATAGGATTTGAAAAGAATTTTGACAGTTACGGCCCAGATCGAGTAGACAGCGCGGAAGAACCGTATGACTTTGACAGCTTGATGCATTATGACAATCAAGCATTTAGCAAAAACGGAGAAAATACACTACAAGCAATATCAGATCCAGACAGACATCTTGGTAATATGGATGATTTTAGCGCTATCGACATTAAGCAGTTGTTAAAACATTATCCGTGTAAAGCTTGGGACAGGAAACCTGTTGATAACGGCGGCCAAAGGAAAGCGGAAGAAAGTAAGTGTACTGGGATGCCACTGTAATTATAACCCTCCGCGAGGCTGCACACCTTTAAGCCTATTTCATATCTTTCAGTGTCGTAACTGTGCTGGCTGCATTCAGAATCAGTCATAATTTTGTAAGGTTGTCCCCTCTCTTTTTCTAAACGTTTTTCGACTGAAAAAGTATTTCGGCTGGTCCCCAAAAATTAAGTTGATCTGAAATATTGTCAGATAGTTAGACGTCGGGGTTTTTTCATAAGCTTTCTTTAATCTACTTAGAAGTATCTGCAGGGGGAGATGATACAGACCGAAGAGACTGTCCTCAGAAGGATCTATACTCCTGAAAGTCTTGCTACTCTCCGCGCTCTATATGCTGTTTAAAAGGCACTTGATACCGATGCGGAATTTCTCTTCCCCGACCGCAAAGAGCCATGTCCAGCGCTGGCCATGAATTCCAGAGTTTCTTCACTTCTTACTTAGTTCTACACTTCTCAGAGGTGTGGAAGTGTGGAATAGTCCGACAAAGTAAGGATATTGTCACACTTTTCCCCCAGTCATGAACCCTTTGTCATTCTTTACTTAGTTCTACACTTCTCAGAGATGTGGAAGTGTGGAAAAGTCCGACAAAGTAAGGATATTGTCGCACTTTTCCCTAGTCATGAACCCTTTGTCTCTTCTTTACTTAGTTCTACACTTCTCAGAGGTGTGGAAGTGTGGAATAGTCCGACAAAGTAAGGATAATGTCGCACTTTTCCCCCTGTTAAGAATCCCTTGTCATTCTTTACTTAGTTCTACACTTCTCAGAGGTGTGGAAGTGTGGAATAGTCCGACAAAGTAAGGATATTGTCGCACTTTTCCCCCTGTTAAGAACCCCTTGTCATTCTTTACTTAGTTCTACACTTCTCAGAGGTGTGGAAGTGTGGAATAGTCCGACAAAGTAAGGATATTGTCGCACTTTTCCCCTAGTCATGAACCATTTGTCATTCTTTACTTAGTTCTACACTTCTCAGAGGTGTAGAAGTGTGGAATAGTCCGACAAAGTAAGGATATTGTCGCACTTTTCCCCTAGTCATGAACCCTTTGTCATTCTTTACTTAGTTCTACACTTCTCAGAGGTGTGGAAGTGTGGAATAGTCCGACAAAGTAAGGATATTGTCACACTTTTCCCCCAGTCATGAACCCTTTGTCATTCTTTACTTAGTTCTACACTTCTCAGAGATGTGGAAGTGTGGAAAAGTCCGACAAAGTAAGGACATTGTCGCACTTTTCCCTAGTCATGAACCCTTTGTCTATTCTTTACTTAGTTCTACACTTCCCAGAGATGTGGAAGTGTGGAAAAGCCCGACAAAGTAAGGATATTGTCTCACTTTTCCCCCAGTCATGAACCCTTTGTCATTCTTTACTTAGTTCCACACTTCTCAGAGGTGTTGAAGTGGGGAATAGTGTGACAAAGTAAGGATATTGTCACACTTTTCCCCATCTTAAGAACCCCTTGTCATTCTTTACTTAGTTCCACACTTCTCGGAGGTGTGGAAGGGTAGATTAGTCTGACAAGTTAAGTTTAATGTCGCACTTTCCCTGAGTCACGAGAAGCTCAGTAAGCTTTATGAGCACTTGGTTTTATTTCTGTATGGTTTTTCACGTTCTTCCTTAAGAACTATTTTTATTTTGAATAGCAGATATAACCATTGTTTCAATGCCAGCTGTTGAAAGAAACTTAAAGTTGAGAAATCCGATCATCAACCAAGCTTTCTTCCTTATCAGTAAGGGTTCAAATTTGATCATTGTTAGATCACGCCATATATCCACTGTTTCTCAGTTTTTCCTCTTCTGTAAGGTTATGTAAATGCTGGACATAAATTATGAAAAAGACGAAGTGTCCTCTGCTCATTTTCCTTGTCATTTTTGCATATTTTGACAGCCAAGAGAAGGTCTGCTCGCAAACTTCTGTGTCAATCTGTAGGTGAAACACAAAGAGGTCAGATGACAACATCAAAACGTCTGTATATCGCTTCATGCTAGAATGCACTTATATGCCGCCAAATGATTAATTACCGTGATTAACTAAGTTAGTCAGTGATAAGATTAAAATAAGTTTCAGTGTTCTGGCCGACGACCTATTAAATGAAACTGAGATCGTTATAGTACTAAATACAATTAATAACATTGCACACCACATCTTTTTCCTCTCATTACCCCTTTGAGCTCTTCTACGTTGTTTGCGTCGCAGTTTTCTTTGCACCACTGATCGAAATGGCCCTTCATGTGCATTTTATCCACCAGAATCGATAGCTGTGACAAACTCTTTATAGTCCTTGTCACGTCCCGTCGAGAAGGGTTTTGAGCAAATTTCTTCAAATGGCTTTATTCTCATTTCATACATAACAGTGTAACTAAGTAAAGAATGAAAGTGTGACATTATCCTGACTTTGTCAGACTTTTCCACACTTCCACACCTCTGAGAAGTGTAGAACTAAGTAAAGAATGACAAGGGGTTCTTAACAGGGGGGAAAGTGTGACATTATCCTGACTTTGTCAGACTTTTCCACACTTCCACACCTCTGAGAAGTGTAGAACTAAGTAAAGAATGACAAGGGGTTCTTAACAGGGGGAAAAGTGTGACATTATCCTTACTTTGTCGGACTATTCCACACTTCCACACCTCTGAGAAGTGTAGAACTAAGTAAAGAATGACAAAGGGTTCATGACTGGAGGAAAGTGCGACAATATCCTTACTTTGTCGGACTATTCCACACTTCCACACCTCTGAGAAGTGTAGAACTAAGTAAAGAATGACAAGGGGTTCTTAACAGGGGGAAAAGTGCGACAATATCCTTACTTTGTCGGACTATTCCACACTTCCACACCTCTGAGAAGTGTAGAACTAAGTAAAGAATGACAAGGGGTTCTTAACAGGGGGAAAAGTGCGACAATATCCTTACTTTGTCGGACTATTCCACACTTCCACACCTCTGAGAAGTGTAGAACTAAGTAAAGAATGACAAGGGGTTCTTAACAGGGGGAAAAGTGTGACATTATCCTGACTTTGTCAGACTTTTCCTCACTTCCACACCTCTGAGAAGTGTAGAACTAAGTAAAGAATGACAAGGGGTTCTTAACAGGGGGAAAAGTGTGACATTATCCTGACTTTGTCAGACTTTTCCACACTTCCACACCTCTGAGAAGTGTAGAACTAAGTAAAGAATGACAAGGGGTTCTTAACAGGGGGAAAAGTATGACATTATCCTGACTTTGTCAGACTTTTCCACACTTCCACACCTCTGAGAAGTGTAGAACTAAGTAAAGAATGACAATGGGTTCTTAACAGGGAGGAAAGTGTGACATTATCCTGACTTTGTCAGACTTTTCTACACTTCCACACCTCTGAGAAGTGTGGAACTAAGGATGAAAAAGGAAAGTAGGGATCTTGTGGCCAGCACTGGACATTTGTGACCGCAAAAGCAACAGGGCTTTAACCAAAAACGTCCGCGAGTTACTAAAGTCTGTGCAAACACCAAAAGGAAATTAACGTTTTGACTGCTTCGAATTCACCGCAAAAGTGGTCCTATTTCATTTTGTAAAACATATGGTAAAAAAATAGTTAAAAAACAAATTTGACCTCGTGAAAGTACCGCTAAACGGGTTTCAATTGAATGGCCACACCGTAGGATTTTATCCGCAGACTCGAATTGGGGTTACTGAAAAACCACCTACATCTTAAAAATTTAATATTTTACTTAATGTTCCAGCAAAATGTCAAGATTTCTTCAAGAATGAATGCAAACATTTCGCGTCCCATGAAGGATACTGTGACTATTGGAAAAAATACATGACGAAGTGGTGTCCACTCTCTTGTGGATTTTGTAAACATGAGGCTCCTGCAGGTAAAAAAAACTGTTCCGGTGAAAATTTGGCAATAGACCTTTTCACGCTTTTTTCAACTTTTTATACTGACCAGTTAGGGAAAATCCCAGCTTAGTCCTTAGGCGTTCTCTCTTGATCCGTTGTCCGCGCGAAGTCTAGGACAAAGCGGGCTAGGCGTTCTCAGCGAGTATCTCTCGGTGACGTCACAGCTTATGGTAGAGTCCAGGAATGACCGCGCCGAAAACGCCTGGGGACTAGGCTGCGAAAATCCGTCGACACCACTGAAAAGAGCGCCTTAATATTAACAAAATCGCCAAGTTTTAAAGTGATACGTCTTACGCGAGCGCCGATATAGCTCCGCAAAGTTGCCAAAATGTACAGACGTTTGTATAGACTGCAAAACAGTCGGTTTTTTTCTGAAAATAAGTAAAGAAATAGGTAAAGCGTGCCGTAAGAGTCTTACGCGCGCGAAGCGCGCGAGCCTCACACGCCCTGCGAGAGAAGAAATATTTTTAGCGTCTCTCCCCAGTCTCGCTCTCTGTTTTCAGCCTCGTTCGAGACCTTCTGTTTGACTGCTCGCGTGTACTTGAATACGCAAAAATACGGACTGTTTTGCAGTCTAACGTTTGTATGGTGGGGGGCAACACATGAACGTCTGTAAAATATGGCGACTTTGAGAATCTGTATCTTTATTACCTTGCAACAAATCACTTTTATACTTAGTAATTTTACTAATTTTAAGGCGCTCTTTTAAGCGGTGTCGACAGATTTTCCCGAACTTACCCATGTCAAAAGTTGAAAAAAAAAGCGAAAAGGTCTATTAGTTTTTAGTAAAATCCAACTAGTGATCTATTCTCAATGCTGCGTTCTGATTGGTTGATGAGCAACTACAAGGCTATATGTTATAGCCCACTCGTAGAGAAAAGCGCGCACTTTTTTGGCAGCAACAAAGGATTAAAGTCTAGCTTTAACTAGCTAAAAGTTTTTTATTCTTGATATTTTTGACCACCTAGTTGGATTTTACTAAAACAATAATATTCCTCTCGCCCTCATGGCCTCTGAGTCAATAGCCCATTCGGCCATGCTCGACGAATAATTGTTAAAAAGCATGTACTACTCTATAGTGGAACACATCAACTGTATGACAAAATTAATGTTTAGATGTCTTAGATCCATTTACCAATTAATAATAAGAATAATGGTAAGAATAATAGTTAATAATCATTTAGTTTAATGAGATGTTAAGCTTTACTATTTAGCAACTTGATTACTGAAAGTGTAGTTCTGATACGCAAAATACATAACCTGAAAAGGTTTATTTTTTTCAGCAGGCTATTAGTTAGGCTCAGTAGTCGTGGCTGTCTCAAGCGCCAGCGATTCTCCACACCTCAGGTTGAAAGAGTCACCGGCTGGGACCCAAGCATTAAGCTGATAACTGGCCACTTATTTTGTGGGATTATTACCAAGAATCATATTATTTCCACCCGAAAATGTCCTTGTTGTTTATCTTTTTTTGTTCGTTTACAGATAAAAGACTTAATATATGGAGAGGAGAAAATTACACACAATGACAGATGAAGGAGTATTAGATAAAAATATTTATAAGGGAAACATTTTGCTGATCAAGCTTTGCAGTCACATTACAGCTTAGCAAGAAATTAGCAGCAGTTTTGTGTTGAGCCCTGAATACTATTTGTTTTTTTAAGATTATTTATGGGAGATTACTACCACTAGTATTGCTTAGAGATGGCAGGTTTTGAATAAGTCAACTATACCCAGTTTTTTACACTGTAAATATGTTTCTAAAAGTATAGATCTGATCACTACAAAAAGGCCCATTTATATCGATTTTATTATTTAAAAGTGAGTCTACTTTGAACAATAATGGCTCGCACCTGATCTAATTAGTCCACATTTGGAAAAAATGACCTTTTTGAGTTGCAATGATCAATAGAAAATATAAAAAAGACATGTTTCAATAAATGTTACAACTCACATTACAATGACTGTAAATCTAACACTAACAGCATCCCACTAGAATTCTTGGTATTCTTTTGCCCATTTTACCCTTTCGTAGGCAACAGGTCTGTTGCATTTGTGATTAAATAACAGTGATGGATCTGGGAGAAGGCAGCTTCCCCTTATTTAAAGGCCAAACTAAGCCCTGCAGGGCAAAGAAAAAGTATTTTTAAGGCTCCCCCCTGCCTGTCTTATCTTAAGGACTGGTTCAGCAGCCCCCCCACTTAAAGACCAGGGATCAATTAAGTTTTTCGGGAAACCGCCCACCTACCCGTCCCTTAAGCCATCAATAACACTTAATTCTCATTGAGTGTAAAATGTTGGCTTAGGGAGGGGTAGGTTGGCAGTTTCCCAGAAACCGAAAATTGATCCAAGATTAGAATCCACCACTAAGTAATTAAAGCTTTTAACGAGATTCCAAGCTACTGCATATACAATGATGCATCAAAAGGAAGGACACCCATGCAATTCAGTGAACCACAGAAGCAGCTCTTTGGTTCCTTTCCAAGCTCTCTTAAACTATCTTGCCATTTGCATTCCCCTCTTTGTTCCCTTGCTGACAGAACCCTGAATTCTCCTGAATAATCAAATGACAGCTCCTCCCCAACATCAATGTCCCTAGTGGCAAAGAGAGCCAGTCTGGGCACAATAGAATCCACTCTGACTGGCACCATGACAAGATTAGGGTTACAGGAGTGATTTATGAATCTTGATGCATTACCATGAAAATGGGCATCTACATGTGTTCTTAAGATGTGGTTTTCAGAAGAATGTTCTCTAAGAACTATGAGGTAGTTTCCTGTCTCATGTGTTAATTTCTGCGCACGTTTTTCAGCTTCTTGCACTGAAATAAGTTCTCCAGCATATTCACACACAAAAGTGAATTTTCTTATGGTCTGCTGAGTTTTTAAGCCCCATCCTTTATGTTTTGTCTTGAAAACTTGGAGCTTTAACTGCAATCCTTTCTGAACAACTCTGTTCGGACAAGTCTCTGGGCAAGCGCAGCAACTGTTGCATTCAAACACTGGTTGACAGTAATCTGGAGAAAAAAAAACAGCATATATATACTACTTATTAACCTCGTCTGTTCGATCATTACAGTGAAATCTCAGACCAAGACCTTGATGTATTGACCAAGTGATAGCGGGGTCAATACATCATGGCCAAGGTCTGAGATTTCCCTGTAATGAACGAATAGACAAGGCTAATAAGTTATTTAATATATGGCCTTTTCATTATGGACCTGAGCCTGTGATCAATAATAAAACCAACAACTGGTCAGTGGATAAGTTTAAAAAAACATGTCACCTCAAAGAGTTGTACACTACAGCCCACAATACAGCCAGGTGACACTGGTTAGCAGATACCCTTTTTGGCAGCTGTCAATTGACCATAACATTGAAGTCCATATGGATGTCCAATATCAAGTTAAACACAGCTCGTATATGTCTTTGACACATGCTTGCTCATTACAAGAAAATAATACCTAGTCATTACAAGAAAACAGCCAATCAGAGCATGCATACTAATTGTAGCTATAGAGTAAAACATGTTGATACAGTCGACTCTTCTCTTATGGAAACCTCTTAAAGACAGCATACAGTTCCCCAAAGTGCCCAGACACCATGACAACAATTGCTCAAAAAGGACACCTAGACATTGGTCCCTGCAGTTCTTATTAAACTAGCCAGCGAGCAAGCTCTCTGGGACACTCTGGCAGAGGGGCAGGAAAAAAGAAGGAGAGCTTGCAACTACGTTTCTGGAATTTGAATATTTGCAGTGAAAAAGTCGATGCCAAATGCTGATCGGAGAAGATGACATTAGTAATGACCTCATTACCCTTGGCACGTTTTTTTTTTTTAATGTTTGTTTACATATGCACTCGTTTCCGATTCACACTGATTGGCAGAAATCTGACAGCTCAGTTGACGGGTATCCACAGGCGAACTGGAGGTGGAATTCAAATTCCAGAGATGTAGTTGCAAGCTCTCTTTCCTGTTCCCTCCCCACCGCCAGAGCATCCCAGAGAGCTTGCTCGGAGACTAGTCTATGATGAACACTTAGGGTATGTTCTTTTAAGATGATCCAGATCAGGATAGTTCGTCACTTGGATCATGGTACATCAATTGAACTGATTAATCCTTTACCAGTCCTTTACCAGGTTGTATTTATTGGTTCCTCTTATGTACTATGATTTGAGGTATCCCAGATCACTGATCTTGATCTGGATCATCCCAATTGAATGCAGCTTAAGACAGTGCCAGGCACAAACTTGTCCAGAGAGAAAGAAAGAGAGACTTAAAGTTAGTAAAGGAAAAAAAACACCAACTAGAGGTTCGGTTGTGGACTACTTTTTCAAATGCAATCAAGTTAGCCCTGTGAAAACTCACCATTCAACTGCTGATTATAAATAAGAAGGCATCCACTATTGTCATAACATGGTCCATAGGCTTGCATGCAAGAGCAAGCGTCTGCCACACATGTGATTTGATGACATTCACAGCCAGGGTAGAATGGAGAATTGAATGAATCACTTACATTGGGCCCAGCAATGCAAACTAAGGTGTACTGTAAAGTAAAAGCCACATGGATTTAGTAAAACTGTGCATATCTCTGCAAAAATCCTGGCTACGCCTCGAAAGGTGTTTCTACAGTTGGAAACTCCCCATTAATCCGTTGGTCCCATAACTTTCCCCGAAGAAATTTCCCATGCCTAAACCCGGCGGGGAATGGAAAATCCCAGGGAGGTGTGTTTCGGACTGGACACATGGGATATTACCCGGCAAATACAGGCGGCCGTACTCGCAAGTAAAGGATGGGTATTGAGCTTATTCTAAATCCATCCTCTGAAAGTAAGTAAAAATTAATATTTCAGTTGAAATTATAGCCACAATATTTTGGGGTTTAAAAATGAACATTTCTCACACGGCGTCGTTGTGCACTCAATGTCCTTTATCACATTGGGATCACATTACCCCAAATGCTGAAGGCTTTTCATCGTCGAGTTCATTCACCACTGGAACGTTCACCCTTTCCTTGCCCTGCGATACATCGTTATTGATCATCGGATGCAAGCTCTCTACCCTCACTTTTCAGTTTGTTGTGATCTTTACTATGGACGTAGCAATAGGTACTTCATATAAGGGACCATATATGGTATATTTGAAACGAAATGCCGCTGACAATGAGCCGTTGTTACCGTTGTTATAGAAACCACTCAATACCGTTCAAAATGGCGAACAGAGAGAGCCATGCTCAGGAATATCTAAAGAAACACAAGATAATGGAATTATTTGAGAACTTAACAGCGCAATTGATCTACGAAAGACCAGGTAAGAAATTCAAAAAGCGATTTCTCGTTGTGGTGAGAGCCTTTTGTTGTTGTTTATCATAGCAGTTGACTGGAAAGAGCTGTTGACGTTTTGGATCAGTTTTGATTGACAGCTAGTTGATTTTATTCTTGCACTTCCCTTCATAGAGGATCCAAAAGCGTACATGAAACAATTTTTGGAAAAACTAAAAGATGCGAGAACAGTGCAAAGAAACTACCCGTGCATATTCGACGACAGCAATGTGAGGTCATTGTTTGGAATGCTTGATGTCACAGGAAAAGGATTCATAACCTATGAACAGTACAAACAAGGTGATGTGACTAATGTGTACAGGACCCTTTACAGCGCTACCTCTCAAACATTTAACCATTGGTTGAGTGTTTTGCTTCCATCAATCACCATAATGGAATATTCAGGAAACAAAGGTTTTCATCAATGGACTCGAAAGGTCAAATCTGTGGACTGTATACTTACTTGTCTGGGGGGTGAATTGTCTGACATTTCTTTGATAATGTTATAAAACAATTAGTTCATGCGTCAGCGTGCGTATGTCGAGATATTGAGCATGCTGGAAGTTTGGAGAGCATGAAAGAGGCGACTCTTGATTGCTTTCCAAACTTCCCAAGTGCTCAATATCTCGACATACGGACAGCTGAAGCATGAACTAATATTATTGTTTTATAACATTATCAAAGGAATGTCAGACAATTCGTGCCCCAGACAATTCGCCTCCAACAACTAGCCTCCAGTATACAGTATCACCTGAGTTAAATATCTTAGAATCACTCGTTTAATAAATGAACTGTCTTCAACCCCTTTCTAAATGTCTAGTTGTGTGAGTGACTCCCGCCCCTTGAAATTCTAAATAAGTTCGCAATTCGAGTCCACTTAATACATGCGGGGACATGTAGTCCGAGAGACACCAGTCCCATGAAAAACAAATTATTATAATTATATGTAACTAAAGCTAATTTATTATTTCTCATTCTAATGTTAAACTTAATCTACAAAGTGGAATGTAAGTCCATAATGTGGGGGCTAGTTGTCAGGGGCTAATTGTCTGCGGGGTGAATTGTCTGGATACCTGTCAATGCAGCAGTTACCTTAAATTTTCATTATTATAGCGTGTACTCAAAGCAGCACACATCAGTGTCTATGTGACTATATTTTTTTACCTCACAGTTATGTTTTTGTCTTGAACTTGAGAGAATGTTTAATCAAGTTGCTTAAAGATAATGGTCAAAAATATTTTAAAATCCATATTGAGGTGCCGGAAAACTATTAATTCACCAAAAAATTCATTTTGAAAGAAATAACTTTGCAAGGAATCATTTCCACACACCATAGCCCACACAGCTTTCGCAAATGACAACAGCATCAACACTCACCTCTTTTCCCTAACAAATTCAAAAGTTTTCTCTTGAGTTTACGTTATAAAACACATGGTTAATGCTTTATCATGTACTATTGAGTTACGGATGCACTTGGGAGACATCTTGGGAGGATTGCTAAACTCTCAAGAACTCAAGGTATAGTTTACTGATGTCATCAGCATGCTCAATTATGGGAACATGAAGCACGCTCATGCTATCGAATTTGAATAGGCGAATATTCTAGCTATGTTATAAAGGGTTTTAGTTAGAATTCGAAAAGATGGAATAATATATTCAATAGGTGCAATTAGTATGCAAAGCAGCAATGGGCACAACATTCTAGGGGGTTCAGAGTATGCCCCCCAAGGAAATTTTCAACATCGTGAAAGCTCAGAGATGCAATTTGGTGAATTGCATTAAAGAGATAAATATTATTTTAACCCCAAGGGTATTCTATACTGCTTTGATGCAAAGTATAACAAAACTTATGTTTTTTGAAGCAGTGAAACTTAGTAAACCATTTGTCTGTTGAATTGTGATAATCAGTGGATATAGAGTGCTTGATTTTGCTTTCAGTCTTAGAGTGAGAACAAGTGAGTTGCTAACATTAGCAAGTTGAATATTTAATAACTGATTTTACATTTGGAAGGGGGAATGGGTGGGCTGGGGCTTGGGTGGGATGCAATCCAAGTGTCTATGAAACTCTTTTGTTTTCTTGATACATCCCTAAATGGTCTATCACATATATCACACTTACTACTATTTTTCCTCAGAAATTCAAGATGTAAGGCTCTCAGTGATGGTTCATTAATAATATTTTTTGCTCTAAACAGGTCTTGAGACACTAGGGATTAAAAAATATGACAACGATCCTCCAGGTGGAGACATGGATAGGATAAGTTCTGAATCATTTTTAAAAGAAGCGTAAGTGGAGTGTTTTATTCTGTGACTATGGACTATTGACAGTCAGACTGGTTTGATTTTTTTTTGTGACCATTTGCTTTTAATATTATTAGTTTTACAGCGAGACATTTGAGGGGGGGAACCACAAGGTTCTGTTTTGGTTTAAAATTTTCAAAGTAAAAAATGAAATAACAAAACGTCTCTTACAGGCTGCTAACCATCACATAGAGAAATTGTCAGCATTAATGTTGACCCTGTCCAAAATGCTACAGACACTAATACCTGGATAATTCCAGTTATGTTTTAATTGAATGACCAACAGTTTCCCCAAATACTTTTGTCAATAACAATATCAAAATTACAGCTGCAATCACTGATCAAGTAGGAAATGGTAGTGATGAGGCAGTTCAATGAATTGCTGTATTTCAATAAAATGATGTTGTCACATTATTGTTTGTATTTTACTCTTGTTTTTGTTTTGTTTTCTTTTCAGACGTCAGGGTCTTGCTCAAGCATCAGCAACATTTGCTTTGTAAATATTTATATAACCAAAGTGTGTCATTAGAGGTGATAGTCTGTTACACAGAAGAGGATTATTTTATTTTACTTGTGCATGTTAGTACAATATTGTATATAGTTATACTGCTGTTTAAATAAATCACTTTTACTTGGCTTAGCCTGCTGTTATTAGTATTATCATGGTTTTAATTATTAAATTCATACATAATAAGAAAAGACGTATTAGAAAAGCAGTTGCATCTAAATTGTACAGTCTCCTTTGCAGCCATTTTCAGGGTTGTCGTGCAGTGCTCCGCCCGATTTTTGAATGAGGACTGGGTTTCAAAATGACATGTGCATCGGGTGGTGACCTTAAAGACAGTTGCAAATTATAAAGATGACTATTGTTTCTTTACTTGGATTTTTCATACAGCTGGAAATTTTTCACAACCACACATGCTCTGAACAGTAACTGGTGATCATCAGCCTAGTCCCTAGGCATTCTCGGCTCCGTCAATCCTGGACTGAGAGAACGCCTAGGGACTAGGCTGGGTGATCATATGACATCCAGCAATAAAACTGTCCTCCCCCCTTTCCCCCAAAATAAAGAAGTTTCTGAAATGGCAACACTGCCAAATCTTTGACATCTTGGGTCCGGTTCAGACGCCAAACTTTTCATGAGCTTTTCAGACGCCGATCTTAATTCCAGCCGAACTAAATACAACAGGAGAAAAATACTCGTTTTTTTGGTCAAACTGCTTGCAAAATATAGGTTATTATAATTTATTCATTAGGTTCGGTACATGAAAAGTATGGTGTCTGAATCAAAGCCAGGCTAGGCATGACGAACAGCTGAGCCGTTCCAAATTGAAACAGGCATTCCTAACACAGACGCCGAACTTTTTTTGTACTTAATTCAATGTATTAGGTTCAGCTCATGAAAAGATCTGCTTCTGAACAGGACCTTAGGGTAACAATGACGAGTTACCCATGAATGAAATTTACTTTGTGTGATTCACAAAATTGTGCTGACATAAATTAAAGTTTTTCATCATGGGCTGTACTTAATGACTGGCCCCTTGAAAAACTAATTTATTGTCTTTTTTGAGAATGTCAATGGTTGGAGATTCCCAAGGCAAAGCAGAGATCAAAAGTAGTTTTTAGTTAAATTGTTAAATTTACTGTTTTTTTTTTTATATATTATTACATTTTCCTGACAACACCAGCAAAAAAACTGTTATCAGTTTTTTTATTGTGATCTATGGAAAGCATCTTTTATAGTACACTACCAAAGTGACTGTATCCCCAAAAGTAACAGGAAGCAGGAAACACTGCAAACAATTTATTCAAACATGTATTTTAGTCTTTATTCAATGAGCTTATTACCATTATTTTTTCTCTGTATTGCAACAAAAAACGTGCCTTTCCTATTCTGCTTATATAATACTGCTCAAATATTTTTAGCAATTCTAGCTTAGTTCTGAGAGACACTATAGCCAGAATTTGGGCAAGATTTTTTCTCTTTTCAGCTCAAAGGCACTTAAAACTGTAACACCTCACTTTATAAGACTTCGTACAGCCTCATTTTTTATACATACGCGCCCCTGCCAACCACCAGCACTAATTCTGTGACCAGTTTCTGAATACAGTCTGGCTTAGGATATTTAGCAAGGCGGTTTCCGTAAGAGAAAATTAATTCATTTAGCAGTCAATGGTGTCACAAACTGTCTCGTTTCTACACACATAGCAGCCTTCACCTAGGCACCGAAGGTAACACACTTCCACTGTATAGCAAACTGTGCTAGAACAATTGCGTCGATAAACACGCTTCTTATTTTTTCCTGAAATAAGGTAAAACAAAGAGTTAGTTTTAAAACAATGCAATATAAGATTCTTGTATGCTAGCTCAGTTGGTTATAATTTTGTTTTCAATATGCCCTTGACACGACACTCGTGGCGCGGCATGCTTAACTTCCCATCATGCAGACATGCATTCATAGGACTTGTGGAAGGTTTGCGTTCATTGAAGACTTCGGCCTGAAGTAAGCGAACATTCAAACGCGAAGCCAAAGTCATATATATACTGTAAGTAATACCTGTTCCACAGGATGCTGCTTGCCCTTGAAAGTTTACCTTTTCAGTCTTTACTCAATCAGTTAATAAAACCCAAACTTTACTGTTTCTTCATAGCCTGCGAAAACATCCCTTTCTCCTCGCTCTTAGCCGCTGGGGAAGTTTTCCGTGGAGAAACGTCCCCTGCGACGAAGAGCGAGGAGAAACGGATATTTTATTTTTCCCGCGTTTTGCGGATTAAGGGAGCTCGTATTTCGTTTCTCCCCACAGCTGTATTTTATGTTAAGGTTCGTTTAATTTATAAATTTTGCTTTTATTTTAGGAATTTTTGTAAGTCTAAAAGCAGCAATTAACTTACTTGTATCAATGTATCAAAATACAGCTGCGGGGAGGTACGAAATACGAGCTCCCTAAAAACGCCTACATGGGAGGCTAGGCGAAGACAAGCGCAAGGTTGACCTTCGCCCAGATATCTCCTTTTCCTTTGTTACTTGCGAGTACAAAAGGAAATAGGAGACGTGTGCACGTAGGCTAGCACGAGATAGGCGTGGAGCGCGAGACACTCGCGACAGGGGAAGGCGCGAATCTCCTTCTTCCGAGCCTTCCACCTGTCGCGTGTTTCGCGCTTCACGCCTTTGTTGCGCTTGCCTTCGCTCGCCTAAAAAACTCTCGTTCTGCAGGCCACTCTTCAGTATATTAAATGATTGATTAATTGATTGGTTGGTTGGTTTGTTGACTGAATGATGAACACTTGCCTTTTTCTGGCGATAGGGGCGTGGTAGCAGAATTTGAATCTTGGCTTACGGGTTCTGCTCGATAGTTCAGGAAATCCTGACACATATTTTCCAAGGCGGCACGATGAGGACTAGAAAGGTCATCTGGTACTTCTTTTATCTCCATAGCGGATTTTGTCCTCAGCAAAAAAGAAAGACTTGTTTTGTTGCGGGCTGCCTAGGAATTGTAAGAATATGCTTTTTATTTATGCTAGTCTCCAAATAACGAATCTTTACGGTTGTAATGCTTTTGCCATTGCATCATAAGGTATCGTGAGAAAAACAACCGACATTAATCAAACGACGCCGTCACTGGTTTCCCTGCGACCTCTGACAAACGAGCGCAGAAATTCCACACTGATGACGCGTCACTTCCCAGATGTGGGTAGTGCTTCTGACAGGTTGAAGCAAATTTTCCACGCAGTACGATCAATCAGACACACTACCCATACTCAGACGCACTTCTGCGCTCGTTTCTCAGACGTTATTTCGTGAGGAAACCAGTGGTGGCGTAGGCCTAGATACAAAAACCACGATAAATCGCCTAAATATGTTTCCGGAAATTCCCGATTTTTTTCTAAAAATCTCGAAATTTTTTTCCAAATATCTCGAAAAAGTTCTAAATATCTCAAAAATATCTGGCTTCATGTCATAAATATTACAGTAAAAACACAACAATATAGCCTGTCATCTAAAATGGCAACACAAATTTCAGTAAATCTCAGGAAATTACATTCTTGTACAGCATACAACAAACTCTAAAACAATTTCACATAAAGTCAACCTTATTTACAGTGCCCTTCAGCCTCAAAGAAGACTAGGGCACTGTACTTTAATTCAGGCAGAGTTCGTGAAAGACCATGAGGTGCTGGAGGTCTAAGGTGGTCTAAAAGGGACACTACTGTTTGGTTTGTGCGTGGCTCAGAGGGTAAGTCATCAGCCATTTTGTTGAACATTAGCCATATGGCATATAATATGAATGGAGAGTATTGCTGGATCTGATGACAACAGACCCATGTGTGGTAACCTGAGATTAAGCCCAATTTTAGCGGTTCTCATACATTCTCTCTAACGGCTACCGCTAAAAGTTGGGCCTAATACAAACTCTCACAAGTTTGTGCTCACTGCGGCCAGATTTTGGCCGCAACGCTGATTTGCTGTTAGAACAATGCCACAAGATCTGATTGGCTGTTGGAATCAAGGGAAGTTGAAAGCCCTTATTCCTCGCGTAGTTGTTTCAGCCGTCGGCGGAGAGAAGGATCGATTTTGCTGTCTTTTTTATTGATTTATGGTCTTATAGTAGGAAAATCTGCCTTAATATGTGCCCTGGAAATTCAGGTGGTTGTTCATATCTTCTCAGGATTTGCTTTATTAATTGACGGAACTAATGTGAGTGTATCGTAGAGATGAATCTCTCTGCAAGTTGTTGACCGCGAACAATGTGCCTTCTGATTTACCAACAAACGAGTCCAAATCAAAATACTGTCCATCTTAAAACTAGGTTCATTTGAAAGTTTTGCCGGGAATGACTTCTCTGCACGGGTATGCAAGCGGAGGCAACACAACAAAGGAAAACTACAAAGTGTGTTTGTAATATTGTTTTTCATTTTGTTTCAGCTCAGTTGAGCATGCAGTCATTAGTAGTACCGTTACGACTTTCCAACAAAGTGGCAGATAATATTTTTAATACCTAGACTTATAAAGAAATATGCTTTTAGACAGTAAATGTTTCAATTAAATTCGCAAATTGCAAAGTGTATTCACGGGACTAAATTAAATGCACTTGAGCACTCGTTTGGTTTGTTCTGAGATAATATATTTTTCCTTTGAAAAAGTGAAGATATGTTCCTCCGAGAGTTTAAAAGAATTATCCACTGAAAATCGGGGAAAATTGTCGAGGAAAATATGAAAGCATTGGAAAAATGGAAATTTCAGTCTTTTAAAAATTTAAAAATCGAGCACGCTTAGCCAAAATATTTAAACTAGAACATCGTGTCACCGTCTTTTCGAAAACCTTTTACCTTCTACGACAATAGAATAAGCTTCAAGATCTCCTCAGGGAATCTCACAAGAAGTTAAATGTGATTGTGGCGACTGTTTTATTGTTGAAATAAAAGACAAAAGCTATTTTTTAAGTCAGTGAGTCTACATTTTCTTCCCACGTATGAAAAATCTGCATACTAAAAAACATGCAACAAGTGGTTTCGGGTGGTTGAAAATTTGCATACTAAAAAACAAGCACCAAGTGGTTTTGGGTGGTTGATTCGGCAAATGTCAATCAATAAAAATAGTGGGCGGCCGACGTTTCGTAGAAGGTTTCTATCAGGCTCTCTTTTCGTTTCGCCTTGCCCGCCGGAATGTTATTTAGAAAGCTAAAGGAAAATTGAGCCTGATATCAGGCTACATATGTGGAGATTTGTTTGAATTTCTGTCACTGAAATGCCCCATGCCCTAATTAGTATTGAAGTAGCTTCCTAGAAAAAAAAAACATGATTTCAGTGCATTTTTCGTAACAAAATTCTAAATATCACACTTTTTTCCCTAAATATCATGAGATTTTCTAAATATCTCAAAATCTTCTAAATATCTTAAAAATATCTGGATATTTGTATCTAGGCCTATGGTGGCGTCGCCAAATGTCGGCTGCATCTCAGGCTAATCAGAAGGCAATTTAAGTCCATATAACGTACCTTTCTGAAAGAGTCAATCAGTTCTACAGGTCGTGGAAAGTCGCTGTTAAGCTGTGATACGAAACAAACTTTCTTCTCCGGCAAACTGATTATCTCCAAGTTCTATAAATAAAGAGAATGGGTAAAGGAGTTGACATCTTGTGTAAAAAGGCACGTTGATGTTCCATATTTTAACATTTCACAGAGACGAAGCAGGGCTTCGCTCAGGGCATAAACGGTAGGGGACCAGCGGAAAATCACCCAAGGGCGGCCGGGAACGGGTTGAGGGACCGGTTCCTAACTTGGGAACAAGGGGGTAAAATTAAATTCCCCGTTCATCCGCTTGGCTCATAACGCACTTGATATCATGTAGGCTTTATAAAAGGGTAAAGGTAAATAAATTCCTTCAGTTTATTTTATTACTGTATATATAAAACATTTCACGTTTGGACATAGCCACTGGCTTAGATATTATTCACATACAATACTCACACTCACATATTCTCAGTGAATAAGTTTGATCAGTGTAGAAAAGAAAAAATAACACTATGGCACTGCGAAAGCGACGTTTACCTTGCGAAAATCGTGGACAACATTGGCTTTAACAGCGCCTTCTCGTGAGGGTACGTAAAAAGTCACTGTCTGTTCAGCACTATTAATAGTGACATTCTCATCAAACACTCCGCCCTCTTTGATCATTCGTACAGAGAATGTTTCTGGTATTGCCTGAAAAACAACAAAATAAAATAATAAAACAAAAGTTAACCAGATTTATGTGCCAGAAAGTTTTGAGAATAAAGGAAGTTCATTTTTCCAACCCCGAGAGTTGTTGCCTTTTCTCCTGCTTACCATGGTAATCAATTTCGGTTGTTTTCGAGTTTGAGAGTGAAGTCCAAAATATGTGATTATCCTATTCACCCCTTTTAAAAGCGTTCCTCGTCTTTTTTTCAAATGCGCCTTACTTATACTCAGGGTTCGTACTCGTCCTGAAAACCCTTGAAAACCCTTAAATTTTAAGCGCCCTTTTTCAAGGCTCGCTTGAAAGTCCTTGAAATTCTCTTTCGTTCGTTTTGGTCGTTTTGAGAGTCCTTGAAGTCTAATCGAAGAACATTTGATAAGAAGCATCGTCACTATTTTTGTCTTGTTCATTACGGAAGGTTATTCTTTGATAAGCGCTCATGCACAAACGAGTTTTCATAAAAAATGGTTGCCGTTAGGAAAAAAGGCCCATTACTATCAGAATATTTTTGTACTTTATGTCGAACCTGTGTAAAAAGTAATAAACAAGGTCCTTGAAATTTAAGAATGTGTTCCTTGAAAGTCCTTGAATTTTAGGGCAGAAAAAGTGTACGAACCCTGTTAATACTTTTCATGGTGTTATTGTTGAGTTCTTTGGCTAGGCTAGTCATATTGTATGTGAGTTTTATCATGATTTTGTATGTCATTTAACAACTGGGTACATAACACTGAACGTTTTACCAATTATTCAGGGGCACCCAACGGCAATTTTCGGGAAAATATCTGTTCGGAAGACGATTTGAGATCTAGAATTTTCGGAGAATTGGTTGCAAAATTTCTTGCTTGCCTGCCTTTCCTAGCATTTTCGAACATCTACAAAATGGTATAATTACTCATTTTTAACGGATTTTGACCCTAAAAAAGGCCACCTAGAATTTTCGGGAGCCTTTTCATGGCTGAAATTTTCGAGAAGATCACTAGATTTTCAGCTAGGAAATCCGAACAGATGAAAAGTTTTTAGGGGATAAAAATATGCCTATATCTACCGTTTGAATACTAAAATACGTTCAACAATGCTATGTTAAGTGGTTTTGAACTATATCCTCATTGGGTGCCCCTGATTATTCCGAGACCACCAATAAAAGAATAAGGTCATATAGTTTATGGGACTTAATTCTCTTTTTGTTGAGGATCGTTTCATTTTGTGCTGTTGTTTAGGGATCATGTATGTAAGTCTAAAAGGCAGTAACTTACTTGTATTAACGTAGCAAAATACAGTTGCGTCGTAATGATCCCAACGAAACGTTTGACATTCATAGTAGGAAACTACTTTAAACTCGCTGCTACCGGCTTCACTCAGACTCGCTGCTGTTGGATGTATGGCGTGAAATGATTTGACTTTCGCGTTGCCACGCCTGTATTTATATCATTTTTTTGTCAGTTATTTGAAAACCATAATGATCCTTCTGTTTACACACTGTAACCAAGGAAGCTTGCTCTTTACTGCTGTTTCATCGTCCAATTTTGCGATCATTGACTGTATTGATTCAGGCCGCACCCAACGTTTATTTTCGGAAAATATCTGTTCGGAAGACGGTTTGAGATCTCGAATTTTCGGAACATTTGTTGTAGAATTTCATGCTTGCCTGCCTCTCCTAGCCTGATTTTCGAACATGTAAAAAATGGTATAATTGCCCCTTTTAACGGATTTTTACCCTAAAAGGGTCAGCTAGAATTTTCGGGAGCCTTTTTTCTGGCTGAAATTTTCGAAAAGGGAAGTTTTTGATCCCTATAATTTTCGGATCACTAGACTTTCAGTTAGGAAATCCGAACAAATGAAAAATTTTAGGGGATAAAAATATGCCGTTATCTACCGTTTAAATACTAAAATACGTTTAACAAAACTATGTTTAAGTCGTTTTGAAGTATATTCGCGTTGGGTGCCCCTGTTGATTATATTAAGCGAACAAACCATTAAACTTGTAGATCTGAGCACTGGTTGCAATTGAAAGGGTTGTCTCCTCGTTAGATACGGCCGATTTAAGTCAAATTCAGTTGTTTTTTGTGAATTATGTGCAATGTCTTTTTTAACATACCGTGTGGGACGAAATTTTTGCGGGAGTTTATTTTTGCGGATTGGCGAGTTTTTGTGTCTTGCGAGAACTAACTTTTGCGATTAGGACAGATTGGTTTTTCTTGCTGGGAATTAATTTTTGCGATTTTCAGAAATTACCTAGCATTGAGAATATTTTCATTTTTATTGAGTGCGTGTAGTAGAAATACATATTTTCAAACAAAAACCCATTATTTCGTTTTATTATATAAACATCAACGAAATACCAGGTGGCCTTTCGCGCGAAAACTTGATATCTTCACATGTGATTTAAACATAGCTAGAAAACTCGCCTAATCAAATTCAATAGCGCGAGCGTGCTTCATATTCCTATTGAGCACGCTGATTACGTCAATAAACTATTCGTAATTCCTCGAGTTGTTGTGAGCTTAGCAATCATGAGTCTCCTGAGTGCATCCATAGCTCAGCAATAGACAACGAAGCGTTTACCACGTGTTTTATAAGGAAATTTAAGAGGAAACGTTTGAATTTGTTAACCGATAGTAAGGAAAAGAGGTGACGTTGTTGTTGTTGTCATCTCCGCGAGCTGTGCGGGCTATGGCGTGAGATCATTCTTTGCAAAGTTGTTTTCTCTCAATAACAATTTTTCGGTAAATTAATAGTTTTCCGGCACCTTAATATGGATTTTACAATCATTTTAGAGTACACTTTCTCTCAGTTTCAGGATAAAAACATAAGATTAACCGTGAGGAAAAAAAAATATAGTCACGTAAACATTGACGCGTACTACTTTGAGCGCGCCCTACAATAAAAATAGTTTAAGTTAACTGCTGCATTGATCCCTTTGATAATGTTATAAAACAATTAGTTCATGCTGCAGCTGTGCGTATGTCGAGATATTGAGCACTTGGGAAGTTTGGAGAGCACTCAAGAGGCTAGAGTTGCACTAGGCTGCGCCTCGTGCAACTCTTACGCCTCTTTCGTGCTCTCCAAACTTCCCGCGTGCTCAATATCTCGACATACGAACGCTGACGCATGAACTAATTGTGAAAATATCAACGTTGCTATGGCTGATAAATCTGAATGAAAGAGACAAGTTGGGATTGAACAGGCACGATTTCTTAGTACTGTATTTTTGTGTAGCGAATTTAAGTTAGAGTATATTTACTCTGGAGTAAATTTTTGCGGGAAGAAGGTTTGCGGTATTTTTATTTGCGGAAAGTTATTTTTGCATTTCGCTGGAAAAAGCGCAAAAATCGCAAAAATTAGAACCCGCAAAAATTTCGTGCCACACGGTAGATTAACAAGTTATATAACCAGTTTAGCTTCATCTTCATCTTCATCTTCATCAAATTAAAAATGTTGCTGCAAATTAAAAATAGTACATGCAAATTAAAAATTGTACATGCAAACACAATTTTTACAATTTTCCCGGCAACGAATTTGTTACGTTGCTTGAATTTTTAGGTCTTTTTTTAGTTCTTTTTTAGTTTCAGTTTCTAATTTGCAGCAACATTTTTAATTTGCATGTGTGACCCTTCTGGACCACCATAGTAGGGTTGTCTGAGAGGAAATAGTTAAAAAAAAAGTAGGAACTTCAGTCGCACAATAGCCTGTGTTTCACCCGGCCCACGCACTCGTCTAAACTATACTTCGCCTGCGAATTACTGTACAAAAAACTCGTTCTAATATCCTGCAGAGTCGCAAGGATATATGTGAGTGTTTCTGATAGCCGGATTTCCTTCGGGTTTCTTATGCGCCTCAAGATTGCCTAATTCTTACGTGTGCGTGACGGTTGGGCGCAGTGACATATCAAAATTCACAGAAGGGAGTTGGCAAGGATAGTTTACAGTAAACAATGAAAGACCAGTTCGAACTTTAAAGCCTTCTTCCGAACAAAACAGTGTTTTGAGAGAATTCCTTTAAGGCCAGAATTTCCTTGTTAATTTGCCGACTGGAAACTACGCACATGTAGCTATTCAGGTCCAGGCATTTCGAAGAAAATCAAAGAAAATAAGATTAGGCTATTTAGCCGCAATAAAAACTCTTAAGTCTAATAAACAGAAGTAAAATAAAATCATTTAATGGTAAACAGAATCTGTGATCAAATCCTGTCAGAAAACATTTGCGAAAACATAAACCACAGAAACTAGTAATTACTCAATATGCATGGAACCGACCAGCTTCATAACCTCTAAATGTGATACTCAAAGCCTCAAAAAATATAATTGCTCAGTCAAAGTGTAGAATACTCCATGCACTGCATGAACTACGCAAAAAGAGAGCAAGAAAAACCTCTGTTCTTCAAGCCGACTCTAAGGTCACGTTTCACACCATCACGAGCTCAATCTCTCTGTTTGGCCTGTCAACACTTCGGACTAACCACAAACTGTGCAAAAAAAACTAGCCAATCGAAACCGCCGATCGACATATGTCCTTGTCACTCGCGATTCGAACCGATATTGTGCACTAATTCGCCATTCGCAAACGCTCTATACAGAAGGTTTAGAGCATCAGCGACGCAAGCAATCGCACAAAAGATTCATGAGTTTTAGGAAAAGGAGAGAAATACTTTTCCGCTTAGAAACACAGACGTTAATTACTAAAAAGGTTCTTCTCGAGATTGTAGCTCAGTTATGCTTAGAAAACTCCATACAAAACCTTCTAAATTTGTTTTTATTCGACGCAAAAACAAATTAGAAGGGTTTCTATGGAGTTTTCTGAATATAACCGGCTAACATCTCAGAGACAATTTTCCCGAAAATGCTTATTTTTGGTAAGTAGGCCTTTTGGACATTGTTCTTTCAGGATATCCTGACAAATCCCATAATTTCGGAAATTTCATTTTTATGACGTCATCACTTTAGTACTCTATTGTTAAACGTATTTTAGTATTTAAACGGTAGATATCGACACATTTTTATCCCCTAAAATTTTTCATCTGTTCAGATTTCCTAGCTGAAGTCTAGTGATACAAAAATTATAGGGATCAAAACTTACCTCTTCGAAAATGTCAGCCAGAAAAAAGGCTCCCTAAAATTCTAGCTGACCCGTTTAGGGTAAAAATCCGTTAATCCTAGGAGAGGCAGGCAAGCATGAAATTTTACAACAAATGTTCCAAAAATTCTAGATCTCAAATCGTCTGCCGAACAGATATTTTCCGAAAATTAACGTTGGGTGCCCCTGAATCAATACAGTCAATAATCGCAAAATTGGACGATGAAACAGCAGGAAATTAAAAGGAAGCTTGCTTGGTTAAACGGAAGGATCATTATGGTTTTCAAATACATAAAAATGATATAAATACACGCGTGGCAACGCGAAAGTCAAATCATTTCACGGCATACATCCAACAGAAGCGAGTCTGAGTGAAGCCAGTAGCAGCGAGTTTAAAGTAGCTTCCTACTGCGTTCCGAAAATTCTAAATTCTCGATCTCAAATCGTCTTCCAAACAGAAATTTTCCGAAAATTGACGCGGTGCCCCTTGTAATAGTTATCTAGTGCTCATCTCCTGGAAAAAAGGCTTTTTTCACAACAAATCTTTAAGGAAAGTAAGGAGGGACTTTGTCACTCGCTCGTCTAGTCTCACGATTTTGTTGCTCAAAAAAGTCGACTTGTGGGCAAGTCTATCTGAGCTAAAGAAATTAGAGAACTGTTACACATGAAAGACGGATCTAAAGAGTTACTGATATCTGTTGCGATTAAAATAAACAAAAAAGCCCCTGTGAAACTTTAAACATCCTGAGACTAATTATTTCAAATGTGGCTAAAAGCAAAGTGAGCCATAGTGGCCACGTTTTAGTACTGACAACAGAAGCAAAAGAACACGTATTTATAATTATTATTTTTTTGTAAATAAATAAAGAAAAAAAGAAAAAAACTATAGCCTCAATTGCACCAAGAATAGAAAAACTGCATGAAATACTGTGAAAATCTAGTTTTCGTGTGGAAACTATCACATTTTTAAGCTTTGTTCCTGCTGTTTACCTCTGTCGCGGACCAAGGACCTTCAAGCACGGTCGCCTTTTCTCGAATTACAAGCATGAGAAATGAGAAATTTCTGCAATTTGATTGGCTTAGAGCAGTGGTATTTCAGCTTAAGTTGAAATACCTACTTGAAAATTACAAACCTTTTGTGGGTAGCAGTATAAACAAATAATAGCATGATTTGTACGTGACATTTAACATAAATACCACTTGCGATATTTCAAAATTGTCTCAAATCTCACGCCTAACTAAATTAGTATAACAATTTCGAAATATCACTCGTGGTATTTGGGCCAAATATCTCTACAAATCATGCTATTACCTATACAAATTTCTTGCTTGCCTGCCTCTCCTAGGATTTTCGAACATCTAAAAAATAGTATAATTGCAAATTTTTAACGGATTTTTACCCTAAAAACTGAGATCACCTGGAATTTTCGGGAGCCCTTTTTCTGGCTGAAATTTTCGAAAATGTGAGTTTTGATACCTATAATTTTTGGATCACTAGACTTTCAGCTAGGAAATCCGAACAGATGAAAAAATTTTAGGGGATAAAAATATGCCTATATCTACCGCGTAGATACTAAAATACGTTTAACGATGCTATGTTTAGGTGGTTTTGAACTATATTCTCGCCCCTGAAGATATTCATGATAATAATTAAGTTATAATAATTTTTAGTCGCGGACCAAGGTCCACGAACTGTACTCCCAATGTAAACTATCATGGCGGATGGTGATGCAAATTAGTCTCCTGATAGCACGGAATTTACGTGAAATTTTGGACTCAGACAGATTCGTTACTAAGTGTTTTAACCGAAGAAGCCTGGCGATGTCTCAAGCATTGTGTCTTTTATGGCGAGGATTCTGGAGAGGTTCCAGGAAAGAAAACAGAAAATCCAGCTAAAAATCGAGCGCTCCGCTGTATGGTAATGTTGCTGCTGCTGCTCTTGTTGACTAAAAGAGTGACTGAAAAAGAGTGACTAAAGATGTTCCGGTGATATTTCTGGGAGTGACGTACAAGACCATGGCGGTTAAGGTAAATAGCCGTTCCCAGTAAGTTTTATTTATCGTTTTGTTTGGTCACCCTTTGATTTGAGGGCGTCTTCATATGAGCCCGGTTACCAGGACCAATTTCGCCTTAAGTTCCTAAGAGAAATTTCAGCCTGGTTTCTGAGATAAGAAAAGGCCAAAAATCTTGCCGACGAGTTCTGGCGGGAAATGGGAGAAAGAAAGCAAAGATGGAGAAACACAAAAATCATAACTTTCTTGCCTAACAGACCTTTCCCACAGTTCCACACCAGTAACCAAACATAAAAAAATGAGGTCGAGGCTCGGGTGGACAATTTCATACAAATCACTGTATTTTGTCCACCCATGCCTCGACTTGATGCCTTTGTTCACAGGAATGAGGGAAAGGTCTACTCATAGCTGTATCACTGCAGTTAAATGAGATGCTCAAGATGTAGAAAATAAAGCAGGCAATGCAAGACGATGCAATCCGGGTCGCCAAATATAATTAACATTTTCCTGACAACACCAGCAAAAAAACTTTTATCAATTTTTTTATTGCGATCCGTGGAAAGCATCTTTTATAGTACTCCACCAAAGTGACTGTATCCCCAAAAGTAACAGCAAGTAGGAAACACTACAAACAATTTATACAAGTATTTTAGTCTTCATTCAATGAGTTTATTACCATTATTTTTTTCTCTTTATTGCAACAAAAAAAACTTGCTTTTCCTATTCTGCTTATATAATACTGCTCAAATATTTTTAACAATTCTAGCTTAGTTCTGAGAGACACTATAGCCAGAATTTGGCCAAAGTTTTCTCTTTTCAGCTGAAAGGCACTTATGTGCATGACAATGTAAAAATTCATTAAAAAGAAGAAATTTTAAGTATCACAACTGCAACACCTCACTTTATAAGACTTCGTACAGCCTCATTTTTTATGCGCGCCCCTCTCAATCACCAGCACTAATTCTGTGACCAGTTTCTGAATACAGTCTGGCTTAGGATATTTAACAAGGCGGTTTCCGTAAGAGAAAATTAATTCATTTAGCAATTAATGGTGTGGCAACGTCTCTCGTTTCTACACACATAGCAGCTTGGACTTGGGCACCGATAGTAACACACTTTCACTGTATAGCAAACTGTGCTAGAACAATTGCGTCGATAAACATGATTCTTATTTTTGCCTGAAATAAGGTAAAACAAAAAGTTAGTTTTAAAACATTGTCATATGAGATTCTCGTATGCTAGCTCAGTTGGTTATAATTTTGTTTTCAATATGCCCTTGACACGACACTCGTGGCGCGGCATGCTTAACTTCCCATCATGCAGACATGCATTCATAGGACTTGTGGAAGGTTTGCGTTCATTGAAGACTTCGGCCTGAAGTAACCGAAGATTCAAACGCGAAGCCAAAGTCATATATATACCAGGGGCGGATCCAGGATTTTTTTAGGAGGGGGTGTACTCGTCTCTTGCTCTACTTCAACACCAATAAACCACATAGTTTTTTTTTTTGCAGAATAACAGTTGTATTAGAAAACCGCAGGTCATCTCAGGAGGGAGGGGGGGCGCACCCCCTGCACCCTCCCCCTAGATCCGCCCCCGTATACTGTAAGTAGTACCTGTTCCACAGGACTCTGCTTGCCCTTGAAAGTTTACCTTTTCAGTTTTTACTCAATCAGTTAATAAAACCCAAACTTTACTGTTTCTTCATAGCCTGCGAAAACATCCGTTTCTCCTCGCTCTTCGCCGCTGGGGAAGTTTCGCGCGGAGAAACGGATGTTTATTTTTCCCGCGTTTTTCTGACGAGCGAAGATAGCCCCCTCGCAGGCGTTTTTAAGGGAGCTCGTATTTCGTTTCTCCCCACAGCTGTATTTTATGTTAAGGTTCGTTTAATTTATAAATTGTGCTGTTATTTCATGAATTTTTGTAAGTCTAAAAGCTGCAACTTACTTGTATCAATGTATCAAAATACAGCTGCGGGTAGGGACGAAATACGAGCTCCCTGAAAACGCCTGCATGGGAGGCTAAGCGAAGATAAGCGCAAGGTTGGCCTGCGCCCAGACATCTCCTATTTCCTTTGTTACTTGCGAGTACAAAGGAAATAGGAGAGGTATGCACGTAGGCTAGCAAGAGATAGGCGTGGAGCGCGAGACACGCGCGACAGGGGAAGCTCGAATCTCTTTCTTCCGAGCCTCCCAGCTGTCGCACCTTTTGCGCTTCACGCCCGTCTTGCGCTTGCCTTCGCTCGCCTAAAAAACGCCTGTTCTGCAGGCCTCTCTTCATGGTTGGTTGGTTGGTTTACTGAATGATGAACACTTGCCTTTTTGTGGCGATAGGGGCGTGGTAGCAGAATTTGAATCTTGGTTTACGGGTTCTGCTCGAAATTCAGGAAATTCTGACACATATTTTCCAAGGCGGCACGATGAAGACTAGAAAGGTCATCTGGCACTTCTTTTATCTCCATGGCGGATTTTGTCCTCAGCAAAATGGAAAGACTTGTTTTGTTGCGGGCTGCCTAGGAATTGCAAGAATATGCTTTTTATTTATGCTAGTGTCTTTAGGCATTGCATCATAAGGTGGCGTGAGAAAAACAACCGACATTAATCAAACGACGCCGTCACTGGTTTCCCGAGCGCAGAAATTCCACACTTATGACTCGTCACTACCCAGATCTGGGTAGTGCTTCTGATTGGTTGAAGCAAATTTCCCACACGGCACTTTCCATACTACCCATACTCAGACGCTCTTCTGCGCTCGTTTCTCAGACGTTATTTCGTGGGGAAACCAGTGGTGGCGTAGGCCTAGATACAAATATCACGAAAAATCGCCCAAATATATTTCCAGAAATTCCCGATTTTTTTCTAAATATCTCGAAAAAGTTCTAAATATCTCAAAAATATCTGGCTTCATTTCATAAATATTACAGTAAAAACACAAAAATATAGTCTGTCATCTAAAATGGCAACATAAATTTCAGGAAATTCTATTCTTGTACAGCATACAACAAAACTCTAAACAATTTCACATAAAGTCAACCTTATTTACAGTACCCCTCAGCCTCCAAGAAGACTAGGGCACTGCACTTTAATTCAGACAGAGTTCGTGACAGACCATGAGGTGCTGGAAGTTTAAGATGGTCTAAAAGGGACACTACATACTATTTGGTTTGTGCGTGGCTCAGAGGGTAAATCATCAGCCATTTTGCTGAACATTAGCCACATGGCATATATTAGCGGTTCTCATACATTCTCTCTAACGGCTACCGCTAAAAGTTGGCCCTGATACAAACTCTCACAAGTTTGTGCTCACTGCGGCCAGATTTTGGCTGCAACGCTGATTTGCTGTTAGAACAATGCCACAAGATCTGATTGGCTGTTGGAATCAACGGAAGTTGAAAGCCCTTATTCTTCGCGTGGTTGTCTTCACGAATGACCAGCCGTCGGCGGAGAGAAGGATCGACTTTGCTGTCTTTTTTATTGTTTTATGGTCTCAGATATAGAAGAAAAATATGCCTTAATATGTGCCCTGGAAATTCAGAAAATTCAGATGGTTGTTCATATCTTCTCAGGATTTGCTTTATTTACGGAACTAATGTGAGTGTATCGTAGAGTTGAATCTCTCTGCAAGTTGTTGACTGCGAACAATGTGCCTTAACGAGTGCAAATCAAAATACTGTCCATCTAAAACTGGTTTCATTTGAAAGTTTAGCCGGAAATGACTTCTCTGAACGGGGTACCCAAGCGGAGGCAACACAACAAAGGAGAACTTGAAGTGTGTTTGTAATAATGTTTTTCATTTTGTTTCAGCTCAGTCGAGCGTGCAGTCATTAGTAGTACCGTTACGTCTTTCCAACAAAGTGGCAGATAATATTTTTAATACCTAGACTTATAACAAAATATTTTTTTAGACGGTTGTTTCTAGTAAATTCGCAAATTGCAAAGTGTATTCACGGGACTAAATTAAATGCTCTTGAGAACTCGTTTGGTTTGTTCTGAGATAATTTATTTTTCCTTTGAAAAAGTGAAGATATGTTCCTCCGAGAGTTTAAAAGAATTATCCACTGAAAATCGGGGAAAATTGTCGAGGAAAATATGAAAGCATTAGAAAAATGGAAATTTCATGCATTTTCAGTATTTTAAAACTTTAAAAATCGAGCGCGCCTAGCCAAAATATTTAAACTAGAACATCGTGTCGCCGTCTTTTCGAAAACTTTTTACCTTCTACTGCAACAGAATAACCTTCAAGATCTCCTCGGGGAATCTCACAAGAAGTTAAATGTGATTGTGGCGACTGTTTTATTGTTGAAAAAAAAGATAAAAGCTATTTTTTAAGTCAGTGAGTCTGCATTTTCTTCCCACGTATGAAAAATTTGCATACTAAAAAACATGCAACAAGTGGTTTTGGTTGGTTGATTCGGCAAATGTCAATCAATAAAAATAGTGGGCGGCCGACGTTTCGTAGAAGGTTTCTATCAGGCTCTCTTTTCGTTTCGCCTTGCCCGCCGGAATGTTATTTAGAAAGCTAAACGAAAATTGAGCCTGATATCAGGTTACATATGTGGAGATTTCTTTGGATTTCTGTCACTGCGTGAAATGCCCCATGCCCTAATTAGTATTGAAGTAGCTTCCTAGAAAAAAAAAATGATTTCAGTACATTTTTCGTAACAAAATTCGAAATATAACAGTTTTTTTCCTAAATATCATGAGATTTTCTAAAAATCCCAAAATCTTCTAAATATCTTTAAAAATATCCGGATATTTGTATCCAGGCCTATGGTGGCGTCGCCAAATGTCGGTTGTTATCTCAGGCTAATCATAAGGCAATTTAAGTCCATATAACGTACCTTTCTGAAAGAGTCAATCAGTTCTACAGGTCGTGGAAAGTCGCTGTTCAGCTGCGATACGAAACAAACTTTCTTCTCCGGCAAACTGATTATCTCCAAGTTCTATAAGTGAAGAAGTGAAGAGAATGGGTAAAAGTGTTGACATCTTGCGTAAAAAGGCACGTTGATGTTCCATATTTTAACATTTCACAGAGACGAAGCAGGGCTTCGCTCAGGGCATAAACGGTAGGGGACCAGCGGAAAATCGCCAGAGGGCCGCCGGGAACGCCAGGTTGAGGGGCCGGTTCCTAACGTGGGAACAAGGGGGCAAAACACATAAATTCCCCGCTCACCCGCTTGGCTCATATATAAGCGCTTGCTATCACGCAGGCTTTATAAAAGAGTAAAGGTAAATAAATTCCTTCAGTTTATTTTATTACTGTATGTATAAAACATTTCATGTGTTGACATAGCCACTGGCTTGGATATTATTCATATACAATACTCACTCTCACATATTCTCAGTGAGTAAGTTTGATCAGTTTAGAAAAGAAAAACTAACACTCTGTCACTGCGAAAGCGAAGTTTACCTTGCGAAAATCGTGGACAACATTAGCTTCAACAGCGCCTTCTCGTGAGGGTACGTAAAAAGTCACTGTCTGTTCAGCAACATTAATAGTGACATTCTCATCAAACACTCCGCCATCTTTGATCATTCGTACAGAGAATGTTTCTGGTATTGCCTGAAAAACAACAAAATAAAATAAAATAATAAAACAAAAGTTAACCAGATTTATGGCCAGAAAGTTTTGAGGGTAAAGGAAGTTCGTTTTTCCAACCCCGAGAATTGTTGTCTTGTCTCCTGTTTACCAGTTCTAAAACTTTTTGGTAATCAATTTCGGTTGTTTTCGAGTATGAGAATGAAGTCCAAAATATGTGATTATCCTATTCACCCCTTTTAAAAGCGTTCCTCGTCTTTTTTTCAAATGCGCCTTACATATACTCAGGGTTCGTACGCGTCTTGAAAACCCTTGAAAACAAATTTTAAGCGTCCTTTTTCAAGGCCCGCTTGAAAGTCCTTGAAATTCTCTTTCGTTCGTTTTGGCCCTTTTGAAAGTCCTTGAAGTCTAATCGAAGAACATTTGATAAGAAGCATCGTCACTATTTTTGTCTTGTTCATTACGGAAGGTTATTCTTTGATCAAGCGCTCATGCACAAACGAGTTTTCATAAAAAATGGTTGCCGTTAGGAAAAAAGGCTCATTACTATCAGAATATTTTTATAGTTTATTTCGAACCTGTGTAAAAAGTAATAAATAAGGTCCTTGCAATTTAAGAATGTGATCCTTGAAAGTCCTTGAATTTTAGGGCAGAAAAAGTGTACGAACCCTGTATACTTTTCATGGTGTTCCAATTGTTGAGTTCTGTGGCTAGGCCAGTCATATCGTATCGTATGTGAGTTTTATCATGATTTTGTATGTCATTTAACAACCGGGGACGTGACACTGAAAGTTTTACCAATCATTCCGACCACCAATAAAAGAATAAGGTCATATAGTTTACGGGACTTAATTCTCTTTTTGTTGAGGATCGTTTCATTTTGTGCTGTTGTTTAGGGATCATGTATGCAAGTCTAAAAGGCAGTAACTTACTTGTATTAACGTAGCAAAATACAGTTGCGTCGCAATGATCCCAACGAAACGTTTGACATTCATAGTAGGAAACTACTTTAAACTCGCTGCTACCGGCTTCACTCAGACTCGCTGCTGTTAGATGTATGGCGTGAAATGATTTGACTTTCGCGTTGCCACGCCTGTATTTATATCATTTTTTTTGTCAGTTATTTGAAAACCATAATGATCCTTCTGTTTACACACTGTAACCAAGGAAGCTTGCTCTTTACTGCTGTTTCATCGTCCAATTTTGCGATCATTGACTGTATTGATTCAGGGGCACCCAACCTTAATTTTTTTCGGAAAATATCTGTTCGGAAGACGATTTGAGATCTAGAATTTTCGGAACATTTGTTGTAGAATTTCATGCTTGCCTGCCTCTCCTAGGACTTTCGAACATCTAAAAAAGGGTATTATTGCCCATTTTTAACGGATTCTTACCCTAAAAGGGTCAGCTAGAATTTTCGGGAGCCCTTTTTCTGGCTGAAATTTTCGAAAAGGCAAGTTTTTATCCCTATAATTTTCGAATCACTAGACTTTCAGCTAGGAAACTCCCAACAGGTAAAAAATTTTAGGGGATAAAAATATGCCGATATCTACCGTTTATATACTAAAATACGTTTAACGATACTATGTTTAAGTGGTTTTGAAGTATATTTTCGTTGGGTGCCCCCGTTGATTATATTAAGCGAACAATTCATTAAACTTGTAGATCTGAGCACTGGTTGCAATTGAAAGGGCCGTCTCCTCGTTAGATACGGCCGATTTAAGTCAAATTCAGAAAGTACCTAGCATTGAGAATATTTTCGTTTTTATTGAGTACATGCAATAGAAATACATATTTTCAAACAATAAACCAGTATTTCGTTTTATTATGTAAACACCAATGAAATACCAGGTGAGCTTACGCGCAAAACATGTGAAAATAACATGTTATCTTCATATGTGAAAATATCACCGTTGCTATGGCTAATAAATCTGAATGGAAGAGACAAGTTGTGATTGAACAGACACGATTTCTTAGTACTGTATTTTTGTGTAGCGAAATTTAGTTAGAGTATATTTACTCTGGAGTAAATTTTTGCGGGAAAAATGTTTCCGGTAATTTTTATTTGCGGGAACTTATTTTTGCGGATCGTTGGAAAAGGCGCAAAAATCGCAAAAATTAGAACCCGCAAAAATTTCGTGCCATACGGTAGATTAACAAATTATGTTATCAGTTTAGTTTCATCTTCTACGTATGTCGTAATTTTCATTAATTAATTATTCTACCCCCTATCTCACAAGTGCGCTAAAACAATCAGTTGTTGAATAACACATCAGTATGTTGTCTGAGAGGAAACAGTTAAATGCAGGAAGCTCAGTCGCACAATAGCCTGCGTTTCAGCCGGCCCACGCACTCGTCTAAACCATCTGTATAGTTCGTCGGCGAATTAGTGCACAAAAACTCGCTCTCCTGCAGAGTCACAAGGATATATGTGAGTGTTTCTCAGTGATAGGCGGGTTTCTTTCGGGTTTCTTATGCGCCTCACGATTGTCCTAATTCTTACGTGTGCGTGACGGTTGGGCGCAGTGACATATCAAAATTTACTGAAGGTAGCCTGAGAACGGCAGACGTTTCTCTTCGCTCATCGCTGCTGAGGGACGTTTCGCGAGGAGGAACGTCTGCGACTCAGCAACAGAAATTCCATACTAATGACGCAAAATCTGTGCGGAATGCGGTCAGAAGCGCTTTATATTGGTCGACGGAGTAGTTTCGTTATTTTAGCTATTGTTTACGAATGACAGACAAAAGACAAAAGGCCGCAAAGGTCAAATGTAAACACGATGAATCTCGTGAGCAAAACAGCCAATATTTGTGGAATATAGTCTTCTCTAGAAGAAGCATTTGAGATGCACACAACACTTTACCAAAATCGACCAGGAGAAACGTAAAGTTGAACAAATTTGCATTTGGAACCCCATGACTACCTGATTTATTATGTAAACATTGATTTACGTCATCAGTATGGAATTTCTGTCGCTGAGTCGCAGACGTTCCTCCGCGCAGGCTACACAGAAGGGAGTTGGCAAGGATCGTTTAGAGCTGAAACAATGAAAGACCAGTTCGAACTTTAAAGCCTTCTTCCGAACAAAAAAATGCTTTGAGAGAATTCCTTCAAGGCCAGAATTTCCTTGTAAATTTGCCGACTGGTCTTCCAGCGTCTTCTAATCGCTGCAGATGCACTGCTGCGTATTCTGCAATCTAGCCGACAGTTCCAGCGTCAAAACAAATCAGGTACCCCTCCCCCCCACAAAAACTACGCACATGTCAGTAGCTATTTAGGTCCAGGCATTTCGAAGAAAATCAAAGAAAATAAGATTAGGTTATTTAGCCGCAATAAAAGCTCTTAAGTCTAATAAATAATACTGAAACAGAAGTAAAATAAAATCATTTAATGGTAAACTGCATCTGTGATCAAATCCTGTCAGAAAACATTTGCCGAAACATAAACCACAGGAACTAGTAATTACTCAATATGCATGGAACAGAACAGCTTCATAACCTCTAAAGGTGATACTCAAAGCCTCAAAAAATATTATTGCTCAGTCAAAGTGTAGAATACTCCATGCACTGCATGAACTACGCAAAAAGAGAGCAAGAAAAACCTCTGTTCTTCAAGCCGACTCTAAGGTCGCGTTTCACACCATCACGAGCTCAATCTCTCTGTTTGGCCTGTCAACACTTAGGACTAACCACAAACTGTGTAAAAAAACTAGCCAATCGAAAACGCCGATCGACATATGTCCTTGTCTCTCGGGATTCGAACACGATATTGTGCACTAATTTGCCATTCGCAGACGCTCTATACAAAAGGGTTAGAACTTCAGCGACGCAAGCAATCGCACAAAAGTTTCATGAGTTTTAGGAAAAGGAGAGAAATACTTTTCCGCTTAGAAACACAGACGTTAACTAAAAAGGTTTTTAGTTAACGTAGCTCAGTTATGCTTAGAAAACTCCATACAAACCCCTCTAAATTTTTTTTTAATCTACGCAAAACAAAATTAGAATGGTTTGTATGGACTTTTCTGAGTATAACCGGCTAACATCTCAGAGACAATTTTCTCCAAAATGTTTATTTTTGGTAAATAGGCCTCTTGGACATTGTTCTTTTAATAGAGTATCCTGACAAATCCCATAATTTCAGAAATTTCATTTTTATGACGTCATCACTTTAGTACTCTATTTTTATCCCCTAAAATTTTTCATCTGTTCGGATTTCCTAGCTGAAGTAGGAAAATTATAGGGATCAAAACTTACCTCTTCGAAATTGTCAGCCAGAAAAAACGCTCCCTAAAATTCTAGCTGACCCGTTTAGGGTAAAAATCCGTTAATCCTAGGAGAGGGCAGGCAAGCATAAAGTTTTACAACAAATGTTCCGAAAATTCTAGATCTCAAATCGTCTTCCGAACAGATATTTCCCGAAAATTAGCGTTGGGTGCCCCTGAATCAATACAGTTAATAATCGCAAAATTGGGCGATGAAACAGCAGGAAAAAGGAAGCTTGCTTGGTTAAACGGAAGGATCATTATGGTTTTCAAATAAACAAAAATGATATAATACGCGCGTGGCAAAGCGAAAGTTAAATCATTTCACGGCATACATCCAACAGAAGCGAGTCTGAGTGAAGCCGGTAGCAGCGAGTTTAAAGTAGTTTCCTATTACGTTCCGAAAATTCTAAATTCTAGATCTCAAATCGTCTTCCAAACAGATATTTTCCGAAAATTGACGCGGTGCCCCTTTTAATAGTTATCTAGTGCTCATCTCCTGGAAAAAAGGCTTTTTTCACAGCAAATCTTTAAGGAAAGTAAGGAGGGACTTTGTCACTCGCTCGTCTAGTCTCACGATTTTGTTGCTCAAAAAAGTCGACTTGTGGGCAAGTCTATCTGAGCTAAAGAAATTAGAGAACTGTTACACATGAAAGACGGATCTAAAGAGTTACTGATATCTGTTGCGATTAAAATAAACAAAAGAGCCCCTGAGACTAATTATTTCAAATGTGG